GCAGGGCAGTGCCTGGTGAGGGAGGGCGGGAGCTGCTGAGTCCGGGAGTGAAGACTGGCTTGTAGACCTCACTGAGAGGCTTGGGCAGTGAGTATGGTGGGAATCCATTGGCGGGTTCTGAGCAGGGAGTGTCGTCACCTGACTACGGGGTGGGATGGGAGACTTGTTTAGAGGCTCCTGCAGGTGATCCCGGGGAGACCACAGTGGCCGGAGCCAAGGCAGGCAGGTTCTGGCTGCGTTACTGTAGGTGATGGGGCTTGCTGATCAACCTCATGTAGGAAGAGTGAGTGAGAGGTGGGGGTGGGGAGTGTGTGGTGGGGGAGGCGACGCGGGAGGGGAGAGGAGGGAGAAAGGAGGAAGACTCCCAGCCTTCTGATCAGAGCAGCTGGGTAACTGTCGGTACCATTCCTGAGAAGGGGAAGTGGGAGGAGGAACAGGTTTTGGGGGAGTTCAGAATGAAGTTTTGGATGTGTCCAGTTGGCGAGGCATATTGGACGTCAGAGTGGGGATGTGCCAGGCTGGATATGTGAGTGTGAAGTCAGGGAAGAGGTCAGGCTGGAGAAACGGACGCACGGTCTGAGTGTTGTGGATGGTATTGGCGGTTGAGGTGCTGGGTGGGATGGAGTTAGGGTTGGAGGAGAGACCTGAAGACTGAGTCCTGGGTTCAGCTTCCTGATAAATAGCCCATCAACCTTGGACTGTGGTTATTTGTGGACTTGTCATCTCCTCTCCACTATATTTTAAGCTCCTTAAAGTTTGGGAACCTGTGTGATAAATATTTTTTTTTTTAGTCCCTTAATAGTGAGGAAACTAGCTGAACTAACAGCTGAGACCCATGGACTGGGAGTCCGGGGTTCAGGGTGCCCAGTGAGACCCTGCTTCCAGAGATTTTGAAGCCTTAGCTGAAAATCAGGTCTATCTTTTAATCACTACATGGTCTTGAAAAGGAAGCTCACTAAACATAAATATTTTAAAATTCCTGTGAGATAGACTGTACCTTTATTTTGGGAAAACAGCCAGATTGGCTGTTTATTGGTAAAGGATTTCGAGATATTTACATTTCCTACTATATCCCCAATCTTTAAGGTTCATTAAAAATCATTTAATAGACATTTTTGTAATGTTTTCCAATTTACAAAACAATTTTGCAAATGGCTGTTTCATTTAGTCCTCAGATTTTCTGATACAAGTAATGATCGAAATACCTAGTGTTTAGCATTTTATGATGCAAAACACTTTGATTTATGTGCATGATCTCATTTGATATCCACATTCTTGCTATTCATTTCTGTGAGACTCACACTGCAGTAAAAACTGCTGTTCTCTGTATGTGACGTCCCGGCTCACATTTGTATGTCTGTGTAGGTGTAATCTGAACATCACATACAGGCTCACATTTTCACATGGATGGATGTGTCATTTTCTATCTGGAACTTCCTTCCTGTCTTATCCCTCCGAGGAATTTCTATTTACCCTTCACCCTGTGAGTAGACTTTGTACCTCTCTTAGAAGAAAATGAGGCCGAGATGAGTTTCGGGAAGAGTCCGAGGGGAACATGCCTGAACCGTTTGTTCCTCCAGTGTGTGGGCGGCCAGGTGTCCTGCTGGCCCTGTAGGGTTTAAACCACAGTTTGGTGGCCATGGCTCTGTCTTACTCAGCGGGAACCTCCCAAGTCTTGCATTGAGGCACCCAGAGTCGTCTTCTTTGGTATCTATGGTTCCATCCCTGAATGAAAAGAACACAACTTCCTAGAAGCAAACAAATGAACGTAAAAACAACCAGCTTCGGCCGGGCGCGGTGGCTCACGCCTGTAATCCCAGCACTTTGGGAGGCCTAGGCGGGCGGATCACGAGGTCAGGAGATCGAGACCATCCTGGCTAACACGGTGAAACCCCGTCTCCACTAAAAATACCAAAAAAAATTAGCTGGGCGAGGTGGCGGGCGCCTGTAGTCCCAGCTACTCGGGAGGCTGAGGCAGGAGAATGGCGTGAACCCGGGAGGCGGAGCTTGCAGTGAGCCAAGATGGCGCCACTGCACTCCAGTCTGGGTGAGAGCGAGACTCTGTCTCAAAAACAAACAAACAAACAAAAACAACCAGCTTCATTCCTGCAAGGCCCCTGCTGCTGGAAGAAAAACCTGAAATGCCTTTGGTTTATGCGGAGACATTCCAGTTGAGTTTTTTCAGGTGCATTTTTTACTGTTACCCAGTTGCTGACAGCTCATTTTCTTCTCTATCCGCCTCCACCCCAAGCCATCAGCCCCACTCCTTGCCTTCCTCTGCCTGTACCCGGCTCCATCATTCTACTGGGCACCCAGAATCCCTGGACCCACACTGCACATTGCACACATCTCCCTCATCTGCCAGTTGCCAAGCCTTGGAGATTCTGAGCTGATTGATTTCTGCGTCTTCCTCGTCCCTAGCCAAGAACATAAGCACAATTTTATGTCCCTTGGCTCCCCTCAGCAGCCCCTATCTCATGGCTGTGATTGAGAATTTGAAGTTTGGGTTATGATGAATATGTTTTCTTTGATCTTAGCTTTTTAAAAAAAGACAAAGCAAATTGGTCCTTGTATTTGGTCACCTTTACTTCACACCATTCTCATAGCAACTCCTGGATTCGCTATCCCTCTTGTTTAACCACGTCCTCTGAAAGTGTTCTTGGCATGGGTCTGTGTGGCAAATCTCCCGAGGCCTTGTAAGCCTGAGGACATTTTTATCTCGTCCCTTGTGTTTACCTGAGGGTCTGGCTGGCTGTAGTGTTCTTTCCTTCTAGATTTTGAAAATATCAGCGTCTTTCCTGTCTGTGTTGCTGCCAAAAGGCCTCAGTCAGTCCTGTCCTGCCGGGCGGCGCGGCCAGGTCTTCCTCCTCAGCGCCTTGAGGATGCCGTCTGTGACCTTGGGTATCACATCCAGGTGTCTGCCGGCGAGTTTTCCTGTAGTTTCTGTTCTTTGACATCTGTGGACTCTTTTTACCTGTGGCTTGTCCTCTTTCTTCAATTCCAGGAAATTAGTTTTCATGATTTCTATACATATTTTCTCCTTCCACTCTTACTGTAACTTCCTTTTGGGATTCTTATCGCTGGTGTTGGCGCGTCTGCTCACCCTCATTTCTTAGCTCTTCTTTTGCAGATCCTGTTTCTTTCTTCCTCCCTCCTTTCCTCTAAGGGCGTTCCTCAGTTTTACCTCCAAACAGCAGCTTGCACCTCCTCCATGTCCATTCTACGATTCACCCCTATTGTGATCTTTCTTTCCACGACTTGAGTTTCACGTCAGTATTTCTACTTGCTTCTGTGTTATGGTTTCATATTCTTGTTTCATGCTGGGAATATCTGCCATCTCTTTGATGTCATTTTGCGTATTTGTGTGTGAATTCTTGGTTCGTCTGTTCCCACCCTTCAGAGCCTTGCTGTTTGGCCCCCAGGAGCAGTCGCTTTGGGGACACCCTCTCCTTAGGACCACCGTCAGTCCCCCACTTCCCTGGTGAGGCTTCTGCATGTTCCTGATTTACTCCTGGGGATTCTGGCACTGACTGTTCAAGTCCACCAGAGGGGACTGACTGTCCCCAGGTCCCAGCGGGAGGAAAACAGAATTCCAAGCATTGGGTTTATCATGGAAGCCTCTGTTCCAGGTGGGCCCCCAGGTGCAGCTCCGCCATGCCTCTCCCAGGTTCCCGTCTTGATACCTCTAGGGTCAGTCTCAGGCAGTGGCTCTCGGGATGGGGTCCAGGAGCATCAGCAGCGTGTCAGCCAGGAGCTTGTTAGAAATGCCACACACAGGCCTTATCCAGGCCTCCTGAGCTGGGAGCTCTGCGGTGGGGCCCAGCACTCTGAAGCTGGCTTTCTGGGCAGCTCTGACGCCCAGCTCTGCTGAGGGATAGGTTCTGTAGATTCCTCCTTTCCATGCCCCCTGCATTTCTTCTCTTGTTCTGCTCCTGCATTTCCTGCCCAATTCATTCCTTCATCTCAGGCTCTTGCAGAAGCTCTGAGCCTCCTCCCACAGGGGCAATTCTTCCTCAGTCATGTCCTGGCCACAGCTGCCCGCTCACTAGTGCTAAAACGTAGCCCTTATCCCCTCTTCCTTGGAAATCTTCATTCCGATGCAATTAATGATAAATGCTCCTCCCCGGAATTCAAGGCCCTTTGGAAACTGCCCTTGTCCTGCGCATTCACGGCTGTGCCTGCACCTCACCCTCAGTGACTGTCAGCTCCCCTCCCCGCCCTGGGTTCTGACTTTGTGCACAGCACCCTCCTGCCGAGATGGCTTCATCCCGTCTGTAGTCTGTACGTGATGAAATCCCACTCCCCCTCCCGACCCCATTGCAAATTCCTCCAGCTCTGTGAAGCCTGCAACTGGGCTCAGCCTTTCTCCTCTTGGACCCCAACCGTTTGCACTTCTCTTGTCATATTTAGCTTTGTGGGCTTTTGCGTGCTTCTGTTTTATGGTTTAGGCAGAGACTTTCTTATGCTAATTTTTATCAACGCTTTGCCTACCTCATCGTCTTATGCATATGGAGGCTCAGCATTGAATTAATGGAATCATTTCTAAATAAACTAGTGAAGGAGTACCTGCCAAAAAGGATTACTGAGTAAAAAGGAGACTAATATTAGTCTTTTGGTGCTTATAAAAATGCATATTATTTGCTAATAAATCCTGGTTTGTTTTCCAAGTATTGTTCTAACAATATGGGCCAATTTGTATTAATTTTAGCTGTTATTAGTTAAAATAAATTGAACACTAACCAAGAGTGTAACATGTTCTCAAGAGCCTCTGAGCACTTGTATATAATTAAAAATATACTTTAATTAAAAAATCTAAGAGTGGAAAGCAAGTCTAATCCTGGAAGAGCAGTTCCCGTCGGGTTTAATTGGCCTGTTTGGATAACACTTGCTTATGATGAGCACTGTTTGTCCAGCGGTCTGTGCACTAGTCGTAGTGTAGGCACAGATACTTGCTACTGGTCCTCAAGTCTCTATCCCATTTCTTCTTTCTGTTTTTACAGATTATTTACAATGAATGGGCATCTTTTGGGCGACTCAAAGGATTTGCAAGACAATCACTTTTATGTTGCTGCCGGACTAGAGACCTTCAAATATTTTCCTTACTGGAAGTCTCCAAGGGTGCCCAGTGAGGTCCAACAGTGAGCATGCTTTGTACCTTTCTTTGTTGAGTTTTGGGGAAAAATTAGCCTTTTCCCAAGTATCTCTCCCAAATAGGTCCAGTTCAGCTATTGGTTACTTTTCAGTAGTGAAATGTAATATTCTTATATATGATACAATTTTAGATTTTAAAAAATGAGGCGTGGGGGAACTGCTCTCGTATGATGTATTCACAAGGACAGCAAGATCTACACGGAGTCCACTGCTTTTCTCTGGGATACCAGGAGTCTTAGAGATCAAGAATTGAAATGTGCGATACAGCTTCAGAGCTGATGCTAGGCACAGTTAGGCCTGCCCATGATGCACCCAGCATGATACTTTGTTTTCTTAATTTGGCTTGCTTTCCCATATCTAAAATACACAATTTGTGCTGGATGTCCATCTCTCCTGGTGAAAAAAGCCATGATTTTTGTAGTAATCCTGAGCATGGCTAAGCGGGTGCCTCACTGTGTGTGTGTTTACGGACACAAAGCAGTGACCAGGAGGGAGCTGAAGGGTGCTGAGACGGGTGGTTCCGAAGCCCATCTGTGGGAGTCTTCATCCTTAATTGTTTAGCCCTGATGGGTGTGCTTGAAATGCATTTTGTGTAGGACACGACTTGGGGCTTTCTAGGAACCTTCCCAGAGCTAGCTCTTCATCAAGTTTTCAATGATCATTATCTCGAGCAAAGAAAAAAGCTGCCATTTTTCATCTAATTGTGAAGCTGGACAGATAGTTTGAACACCATGCAGGTGGCCAGCCTTCCTCTACCCTTTAGGTTTTGTGGTATGAGCGCCTTCTGCATTTGGAGAGCTTGAACCTCCACTGAGGGTGCAGCATCTGGGATGGCCTCCTCCCATTCTGGTTCACATGCTGCCAGGGTTTGTACCTCAAGGCAGAGAAAGGCTCCTTTTGTCCTGTCTACCAAGGATGACCCCACCGCAGTTTGATATTCAGGCAGATGGTGAGGTTAGAGTCCCACCTGCATGCCTGGCACACGTGGATGTTTCTTGATTTTATTGACTTAATTTGTGCTAATAGTGCTGCTAGCACAGTGAGGAGGAACACCATGGGGCTGTGGAGCTGAGTCGTTCTTTCTGCCTGCCCCCCACGTGTTTCCCATCTCTTAAAGTGTTTTGCTTTTTGCCACTGTCTGTTCATTGGGAACCCCTGACTGAGTCTGACTGGCTTAAATATCTTTCCCCCTCGCCAAAGTTGTTGAGCTTAGGGTCAACAGGAGGCTACATGCAATCGCTCAGAGACTGAAGTTCGTGTGACTTACACAGAATAGACCAAGGAGGTGCTCTGAATTTGCAGAGAATACTGGGGTACGAGCATTTCCAAATTTGAGTAGCAGCTATTGGAGAAAGCCTCACTAAAGAGGAATTAGAAATGGGATGCGTGCACTTGCAAAGGCAGCCAGTGGACAGGGACTCTTTGCTGTGGTAGAAGGAGGATGGGCCATCTGATCTCCAGGAAGGAAATTGAACAGATTCCTGGGGCATTTTCTGCTCCTGAGGCTGGGAAATCATTGTTGCTGTGAGCCATGTCCTCTGTGGACAGCTTGCTCCTCCTCGTGGTTACTTCCCTCTTAAGGACAAGGCTGCAGACTGCATTTTATAGAGACAACTTAGGGCCGGACTTTACATTTCAAGTTCAACATCTTTTGTCTTGCAGAAGATATGCGAATGTTGAAAAAAACTCACAGAGAAAGAAAAAAGTAAGTAACTTTTTAAAACAAGTAAGTAACTTGTTTCTGATTCTGGCATCTTCTGGCATTAAGAAGGGCACAGTGCAGGGTGAGGGCCCGAGCTGTAAACAGAGCTTTCTGGACCAGCGTCAGTGACAGGCTTATAAAGAAAAATCAGGTGCACTTCTGAGAATGGTGTGAATAGGAGAAGGAAGTTTATGTTTGGAACACAGAGTCCAGAGCTGAGAAGCACACACAGGTATTTTATAATGCAACCCAGCAGGTGTGAAGACAAAAGTATATTTGAACTTTTATGGGACAGGGAGGAGAGTAACTGATTCAAGCTTGGCATGAGTGGCAGTGGACTCTGGCGTGGGGGTGGGAGGAGGACATTCCAGGCAGATGTGACAGTAAGGCAGCAGTGGGAGAAGCAGCTCACTGCATGCGCATGTGTGTGTGAATACATATGTGTGTGAATACACATGTGCGTGTATGTATGGGTGCATGTGTGTGTATAAATACGTGTGTGGATGCATGTGTGTGTATGGATGCATGTGTGTGTGAGTGCATATGAATGCCTATGTGTGAGTGGATGCATATGTATGTGTACATGGATGCATGTGTATGTGTGGATGCATGTGTGTGCATATGAATACATGTGTGTATAGGTGCACGTGCATGTATAGATGCATATGCGTATATGCATGTGTTATGGGTGCATGTGTATGTATGGATGCACATATGTATGTGTTTAAATATGTGTTTATGGAAGCATGCATGTGTATGTATGAATGCATGTGTGTGTATGGAGGCATATGTGCATGTGTGCATTGGAGTACATGTGTGTATGAATGCACATGGATGTGCATATTTATGTGTAGGGACGTATATGTGTGTGCACATGACGTGTGTATACATATGGATGCATGTGTGTATGCCTGTGTTAATGGATGCATATGTGTTGGTATATAAATATGTATGTTTAGAGGTGTATGTGTATGGATGCATATGTGTGCATGTGTGCATGACTGCATATGTGTATGTATAGATGCATGTGTGGGTATGGATGCATGTGTGTGCATATGACTACATGCGTGTGTACATATGGATGCATATGTGTGTGGATGTGTGTATGGATGCATATATGTTGTATGGATATGTTGCATGTATATGTTGTATGGATGTGTGTATGGATGCATATGTGTTGTATAAATATATATGTTTGGAGGTGTGTGTATGGATGCATATATGTACATATGTGTATGCATGGATGCATGTGTATGGATGCATATGTGTGCACACGTGCATGTGAATACATATGTGTGTATGTATGTATTCACATGCACATGTGTGTATGGATGCATATGCATGTGTACAGAGGCATATGTTTCTATGGATGCATACATGGGTATTCATATGGTTACATCTGTGTATATGGATGCACGTGTGTGTGTAGATACATTTGTGTTTGTGGATGCTTGTGTACCTATGTGTATGGATGCGTGTGTGTGTGTGTGTGTGTGCTGATCACACAGTTTGAAGTTGCAGCATAAAGCATGAGGAAGGATGACAAGGAGGTATCAGGATCTAGGACTAGAAAGGTTTGCAGAAGCTGGGTCCTAGAGGGGCTTACCAGTCCTTGTAACTGTTTACGTGATCCTCCTCTATCCCTGATCATCCTATGAAAACTGACTTTTAGTGGTTCTTTTGACATTAATATTTATTCGACAAAACTGTTGAACATGTACTCTTTCCAGTGCCTGTCTGCCTGGCTCATTGGCTGAAGTCCCCTCCCTACTGTGACACGCTGGCTTTGAGGGTCCGTATTGTCCTTATCTGTTCTTTCCCAGAAACTAACAGGTAGCCCTGGGCTTTGCTTTTCTGCTGTTGCAGCTCAGATTTCATGATTGCCATTTTTAATCACTCTTCTGCAAATAGGTTTGACTTTCTCACCCGTCAGCCACTGTGTGCACCTGGCAAGTGTCCAGCCCTGGGTGAGCCCAACCTGCACTTCCTCTGCACTTGCACTAATGCAGTGTGGTGTTGCTGGAAATAACGACACTGCTGACCCGAGTGTTCACGCCGAGTTCACGACCACGGTCCTTATCCAACTTCATTCACTGATTAAGCCTGATGTTTTAAAAAATGTTTTTCTGAATATGTTTTGCCAAATTTTATTGGAGATTTCTGCATGTCTGCTCATGAGTGAGCTTAGCCTGTCTGACTTCTTTCTCATGTTGTCCTTCTCTGGCTTTTATTGCCAAGGCTTTTCTTCTGAATTGACTCTTGTTATTTTTTGTAGCTTCTTGAGTTGAATGATAGCCTTATTTATTTTGGATTTTCTTTCTCTAAGAAACACATTTTAATATTAGCTGTTTGTTGGATGGATGAATGAAGGATGGTCATTGAGATTACAAAAATGATATGCCTTACTCTATTCATTGTCCCTTATATAAAGGTCTACACCTGTAAAGATGTGTTATCTTAAAACTCAGTATTAAATTTTTTGGCCTCATTTTGAAGACTGGGTGTGTTTCTAAGAATGAAAGGAATTCCACACACAGGACTTCTCTGAGGCTAGAATTTATGATGATTCGCAGCAACTTAGCCATTTATGATAAATGTCTTTGTTTCTTTACTTGCTTGCCCCTGGTTTTCCATTTCTAGCTTGTTAAACCTCTTTTATCTATTTTCTGTGTGAATTGCCACAACATCTTTTTGTAAAAGAAGGTACAAAATTTAAAAAAATACAGTGCTGTTTCATTAAGATATTGCCTTGTGGAATAGGGGGGCTGTTGGGACCCTTGGTGGTGTGCACATTCTAATGACATCAGCCGATCCAAGTATCAGCTTTCTTTAAAATTGGATGCTGGATTTTCTTTTAAATTTGCAAGCTGAAAAACAAGTATCTAGAATACAAAGCAGAAAGTCTTTCTTGACTCTTCAATGAACATATCACAAACGTGACCTGGAACTTGTGACCCACAGGATATCAGGCCTGAAAGGGGTACTTGTTGATTCATCTGGTCATCCATGAGGCCGTGGTGAGGTGTTGGCAGCCTGCTAAGCGCACTCCGCTAGCACTAGAGACACAAAGATGAGTGGAGTGTAAGTTTCCACGATTGGAGAAGGCAGAGTGTCGATAAGCATGAGAGTAACCCTAGCAGACCTCATCTAGCCCTCCTGCTCGGTAAATTAAATCCTGGTAATTAAATCACCCCAGATTCCACCAGCACCAACCTCCCCACCTCCACAGTTGCAACAGATCATTGATGCTTCTCCTGTAAGCTGTTTAACTTCCACATCTGCCTATGTCTCCCCATCAACACTGCCCAATGGAGTCAGGAAGAAACACTTGATACCTATGGGGGAAAGCATTGTGAGAGTGGGCAGGTAGGGGGTCAGGGGAGCTGGGCTCCCCAGGAAGACATTTTTATTTGCAGGGATCCAGATTTCAGCAAGGGAGTAAAATGGACCATATCCACTTGATACTTAATACTACTGATGGAATAAATTGTATGGACTGGAAAGGGAGCAAGGTAGACAGGGAGGGGCGAGTCCTGAGCAACTGTGACATTCGCAGTGAGGTGACAGGTAGAGCAGAGCAGTGGGACTTGAGAGATGCTGTGTATCATTGATTCTATGGAGGGCATGTTCCCACATCCCAACATCCCTGGAACAGGTGGATCTGACGTCGACAGCGTCTCAGGACTCCTGTGGGCAGCCATGTTGCAGGTGCTGGTTGCTCATGGAGAAACTTGGCTGTAGCTGCTCATTTGTGTCTTCAATTGTGTGCAGGGTTGATTCTGTACATGTTGGGTGTAAAATATCCTCAAAATGATTTTTCTATGAGAATTGAAACAAAAAGTTATATACACAGAAAGGCCTAAATGTAGAACATCAAGATGTAAATTTGCTATCGACGGAGTATATTCTTCTTCAATTCCATCTATTCTTGCAGAGTGACAATCAGCTATTGTGTAGGACCTGAGACAGGGAGGTTGACACAAAAAGTTGCAGCTGCCAGTGTCAGTGAACTACGTGGTATAACAAGCCACCCCCAAACCCAGGGACTTCAGGCAACAAGGGTTTATGATTTCTTTTAGTCCTGTGGGTTGGCTGCACAAGTCTTGGGCTGGTTTCACCTTGGTTGCTTATGAGGCTGGGTTCAGCGGACGTTTCGCTAGATTGGGATGTCCAAGCTGGATTCAGTGGACGTTTCGCCAGATTGGGATGTCCAAGCTGGCCTCACCAACACATCTGGCAGCTAGTGCTGGTTGTTGAGCATTTTGGTTCTCTTCCATGTGGCCTCTCATCTTCCAGCAGGATGTCACAAACTAGCCTAGATTTCAGGGGGAGAAATAGGTTCTCCCTCAACAAAGGAGCACAGAGGAGCCCGTTCACTTTGCAAACCTGTGTGCAGCCTGAGAGGGAAGGGCTGTGTGGCCAGCCAGCAACCAGCCACACTCATGTGCGTTGTGTTCCTGAGAGTGGTGCAAAAGGATTGCCTCCCACTCTGCAGGGCAGAAAGCACCAGCACCAGGATGTGCAGTTCAGGTACCAGCGGCCTGGGGGCAATTCAGAGATGAGGGCGGGGCCTCCTTCCCACGCTGTGTGCAGAAGCACTGGTGCCTTTGACTCGGAGTCAAAAAGTGGCTCAGAAGAGTCAGGCTCTGGATGTAAAATCTTGGAGGGTATTCAGGTGATTTGTTTCTGTTATTTTCTCATTTTTCTTTATGTATAAGCATGCTATGTCATAAAAATGGGTGTCTAAATGGTCCTAGAAGGGCTTTTTCAGTAAGTAGAAAATCGAACTTCTAGGAAATTAAAGCACGGGGACATGCTTTAAATAGTACTTCCTTTCTTTCTCAGTGGTACATAAAATAGCTACGTGTTTTCAGTATGATTCATGGAATCTTGATTCAAAGAAGTGAGATGGAGAATAACAGACAGTAATGTGGCACCTCGAGATGACTGTGGAGGACGTGGGAGAAGTCAAGGCCGACCTCAGGATTCCAGGGATGGTGGGA